CAAAAATTCGACTTTTGACGTCGGTTGGTGACGAACCGACGTTGAAAAACATGTTCAACGTCGGCTAAGATGTAACCGACGTTAAACAGCGACGTTGAAAGTATATTTTCTAGTAGTGTATTTTTGTTCATTATCCATTAGTTACTAGAAAAGGGAAGTCATTAACAAGTGAATGAAGGATATCTTGATATGTCTTTATTAATGTCACATCGTGTCTTTTTGGAACCATAACTTAAATCTTTTCATAAAAAGAAGAAATTGATAGATAGTACGTAATAATGGGCGTAATTCTTTAATGTTAATGTGGAAAAAAAAAAAAAAAAGGAATGAAGTGATTTTTAAAAGTGAAAAAAATTTTGATTTTGAATGTTTGGTAGGAAATTATTAATATTAAGAAAAAAAAATTCTTGAAGTGTCTTTTGTCTTTTAAATTAATTAAAAGTGAGAATTGATCTACACATTAGCTGATTTTCTTAAGAATTTTCTTAGGAGTTGAGGTTTTATCAAAATTTTGTAACCCCTATGTAATTTATTATTTGGCCCCTAAACATAATAAATATTTAATATATTTATTTGTATATTTATAATTTTAACTCTCATATAATTTATGATTTTGTTTCTCTCAAACTTAATGATCATTTAATATATTTAAGTATATGTCTACAATTTTATTTTTTCACCATTTCTTCTTCTTTCTTCTTTTTATATTTATTTATTAGTTATTAATAATATATTATTTGACCCCAAGATCAATGGTCAAGATCCACTATTAAATCTATCATCTTAATTTATTAGATTAACTTATTAGAAAAATAAATTAAAAATATCAACGTGGGTTAATTTAAGATGGATCATCCATTATACTTAACCTACTTTATCATTTTTAAAGGAGGATAATCTCAAATAAATACAGAAAGAGAAAGGTGGAAAGATTAAAAAAAAATTATTCAATTTAATCTTTTAACTTATGTGCATGAATAATTAATAAATCATATATTGACCCTATTAACAATGTTATTTAACAAGACTTTTAGAAACTTCTAACCATTTAAGAATTAACTATAAACAATTCATAAACTAAATAACCTAAATTTGTGTTGCTTGTTAAATGTAGAGATAGTCCATCTATTTATGAAATCTTCATTTTTTTTTTTTCTTGATAGTACCCCATCGTGAGCTGCCACGGTCCCACGGTTCCTGTATATTTTTCTTTTCTTTCAAATACTTTTTCTCCGTTTCAAACTATATGTTGTTTAAAACATGATAAAATAATAAATGTAAATACCAATCAATGTAAATGAACCACTTTCTTAAGTGTCCTTATGGTCACCATATGTTTCTGTAGCAAAAATTAGAGGAAATGTTTAAACTTCATTATTAAAATGCGTAGTCAAACACACTTTACTTAATTGAATAAATAAGCTCAGTTTTATAATTGTAGTTAATTATTTAAATAAAATTGTACAACATAATTTATTAGTATATATGACAAATTAGTTATACATGTATATGAGAGTGACATAAGCATGAGACACCACCACAATGGTGTGCAACTGCAATAGAAAACTCAGATATGAACTAGTCTGCAACAAGAAAATGTAACAAATTTTCTTGGGTTCACCAATAACTTTTATTTTATCAATTTTTTTTTTCTTATTTTTTTTCTTTCCATTTGAATACAATGAAGTAGAGGGAATTCTCAAAAGTAGAATTACACTCTAAAACAGTCGTATTCCACTGGAAACACGAGCAAATGCCACCTATTCATGCAACGATTTTTTTTGGTTTGTCCCATTTACCCGTTGTTGTTAAAGGTGAACTAATCAGTTAATAATTATATATATATATATATATATATATATATATATATATATATATATATTTTTTTTTTAAATTATCTTTAATTATATAAATAATTTTTATTTTTTATTTATTAATTAATTTATGTATCAAAATAGTTAATTCTAATTAATAATTTAAATTTAATTAATTATTTTTAATAATTTATATTATAATATTATAATATATTTATATATTTTATTAGCATAATAAAAAATATAATATTTTTAATTATATATTTTTAATATATAAATACTTTTTAAATAGAACGGTCTATTGATTTAGCAAATTTACGTAATAGACAAAACAGTCTAAAATAAATTGATTGAACTATAATTAACTCATTTTATTATCCTAATTAAAATATTATTATTCATAAGTGTTCAAAGATAAAAAATCTAATATAAAATAGGTATTTTAAATAAAAATTCAATAATAATAAATACAATAGGAAGAAAATATGTAAATAAACTTATATACTCTCACTTTACGAATCTTCACAATTGATTTTAGGAAGTTAAATAATATATTATTAATAAATAATAAATAAATATAAAAGAAAAAAAAAGATAAAAGAAATAAAAGATAAAATTATAAATATATATTTAAATATATTAAATGATCATTAAATATGAGAAAGATAAAATCATAAATTATATAAAATTTATAGAAATAAAGAAGAATTACAAAGATAAAATTATAAATATATTAAATAAATCATAAATTACATATAAATTATAAAACTTTCGAAGTCACACCTCTCTAACTCCAAAAAAATTCGACACTGTGTCTTACTATACACAAATACACGTTAGAAAATAAAAAATGAGTATATCTATCTACTGAATACCCAAACAACCTAAACCAATAAAAATAAATATAAATATTAATTAGGTTAATTAATGTAACGAGTGTTAATTTAAGTTCAGAGAACAACATTCGTTTCTCTAGCAACTCTGCAATCAAATCACATTTAGGTTAGTCAATTTCTAAAAATTATTTACATTCTTTAATTTTCAGATTAATATATGTATGTGTGCAGTAAATTAATCTCTAATTGTATTGTACGTTGTCGTACATTATCCGAGTATCAATAAATTCATGAATCTAACAGCTTACCAAATGTTTGATACCAAAAAGCTTACTACCAGCAAAAGGAATGTCATTAGGGTCACTATCTTTTGCCCTAAATTAATTTCACTATAAGCCTTTATATAATTAAAAAAATAATTAAGAAATAAAAATAATCACCTTTTTTCAAACCAAGTCTTTGAAATTAAGTATCTTAACCTTCATCATAGGTATAAATCAAAGAAACATTACATGTACAATATCTTAACCTCGCAATTTGGTTATTGGTTGGATGATGAATGCAAGCATAAATAAGTTGGTGATTGACACAAGTGATATACTCATGAAAAAGAGTGATGTGTTAGGCATATTATATGCTTTACAATGAACCACAAAAGTAGTACAAAATATGATATCATACCTAATTTAATTATTCTATAACCAATCATTATTTCTCAAACCCGCACTACGGAAATTATTCAATATATTAATTAAACTTGCAATATTATTTTATTTGTTATTTAAGAAACGTAATCAAAATCGAATACCCAAAATTAAATGGTGGTAGATGAGAGAGTTAATACGTACCGTTATTGGTTGCATTTATTTGGAAAGCTTGTTTATTTTCTCTTTTCATTTTTTTTTAATTAAGATTTATGAATTTGGTGGGTATTATCACCACGTGTTTCTCTCTCTCTCCCTCATCCTTAAAGAACACTCTCTGACATGGAGTGTAACAATAATTGAAAATAAGAGCTCACCAAATTATTTTCGTCTTCTCAATCCATCGCAGCATGATTTTCTTTTTGAAAAATATAATGGGAAATGCAAAAGTTAGACTGAACTTCTCAATAGAATAAAAATGGAAACTTTAAATTAAACTAGAGAAGAAGATTTATAATAGAAATGTTTTTTTTAATGTAATGTTTATTATTTAAAATAATTAAAAATACTTCAGAAGAAGCATTTAAAATCTTTTCATTAGTAAGGTTATAACACGACCCTATGTTAATTGTTTTTTTTTCATAAGTATTTTCATTCACTCCTATGATTTGTAAAATGTATTAAACATTAAATATAACATTGTCAGAGCTAAATTATAAATTTCGAATAATAAAAAAAGAAGCGTGATAGTTAGAAGAATAGATAAATATATAATTATGTTTTTAATCTTGAGGAAGTTGATTCCACCTAAACCCTTAATCGCCAACTTAATATATAAATTTAAAAGAGTGCATTGACCTAAAGTCATTCATAACAAAGTCATGGTGACTTCAATTCATTTGAGGAGAACATGATATTCTCTTTGAATTCAAATATTAAAAAAATATATTTATAATTAATGGACTGAAATTTAATATAATTTAAGGTTATTTAGTACTACTATTATTTAAAATTATTATTTCAAACCTAAGCATCATCACCAATAAATATGATTAAATGTGGTTTATAAAATATATTTTTTATTATGAAATCACTAAATAAAATAAATTTAACTAAAATCCTTAATAATCTACAATTATATATTCGTATTTGATCATTTTAAAATTAAATATTATACTAGTATTTTTTTTATATAACCAACAATGATTTGATTTAGCATAATGTAGTGTTTCATATCATAAGCTCAACTAGACATTTTTTATTACATGATGAAATCATGGTCATGAAAGTAAAAAATTCTGATGAAAATGTAATAAACCAGAAATAACTGTGTTATTTCCTTTAAAGATGATGAAAGATGTTCAAAATTTTGTTTATAGAAATATCTTCGTTAGTATCTGTTCATATATATATCAGAAAAATGATAAATGTAAATAGTAATATATATATATATATATATATATATATATATATATATAAAACAAATTTTCAAATATACCTATCAGAAGATTCTGTCTAATTGTGTCCCTTTTCCGTGGGGAAGAAATACTCATTAATTATATATTTCATTTTCCTTTTTTTCTGTTAAAAAAAACGGATGGGTATGGATAACTCCCAAACAGGGTATTATATATAAACTCCAAAGGGTTATTGGAAGCACATAGTGTAGTCTTGCTCTGATATTTGAGACCAAATAAAGCATAACCATGGAGGAGAGAACCACAGGAAGAAATGGAAGCTCTAGAAAGGGTAGCTTCAGGTTGGGAATAGGAGTGGATGGAAAGAAGGATCACACTGTGGTGGAGCTTGGAAGTGTTGACACACACAGACTTCTTCTCAGCGGTGCAGAGAGAGAGAGAAAGCAACAACCTCTCACCAACTCTCTCTCTTCCAGGCAAATGAAATCCCTCTCTGCTCTCTGTGACACTATCTTACCTTCTGTCCAACACTTTGTTCACACTTCCGACGAATCTGTCAACAAGTTCTATCAGATTTCAGCTTCCATGGCAGGCACACCAGAACGTGTACGGCTACTTTCATACCTACTTGCAAATTCTCTTTCATTTTTCTTCCTTAAATTTTCTTTATGATATCCCAAAGCCCTAACCTCTCTTCTCTCTAATATATTATATACACACATACACGCACACACTTTCTCAGAAGAAAATGGTTGTATGGCATAATTTGCAGCTGCAGTTACAACGTAAAACATGTTATGACAAAACATCACAAAATCAAGTTTGCCATTTTGAAATATATCATGATAATTTTGCAGTATTTTTCTCCATTTTTATGCATAAAAATTCTCGTAAACTGTTAAATGTAAAATTCATTGATAAATGAACGTTTATTTTCTCTCTGTGGGTAACTTTTTTATCGTATGGGTTTAAATCATAATTGCCACAGCAGATATAACTAGCTTTAATGCTTATGTCATGTCAAACATCACGAATGCAACTGGAGTATGGCTGAGTAGAATTTATAGTTATTATGATGATATGTCACTTTGAAAGACGCACCAGGTAGGAGAAAGAATTTAATCTATGAGTATGAAAAACACTTTGTATGATAATTTTACTATATGGTAAAACATATAATGTGATTGGTGTTGGTTTGTGATGTACATACAGTTAGGGGGAATGATATGTGAGAAACTGAAACATCCAATGACATGGTTACTAAAGTTGGTGTTATGGGTGTTGTCAACGTGGTTTGGAACATTAATTTTGTGTGGGATGGGATGTGTCTCAACCCAGTTCCCCTTCATCCACAGCTTTCCTGATCTGTCTCTACAGAAAAGGCAAGAGATTATGCGATCATGGTCTCTCAGTTACCTTCGTCAGTTAAGGATGTTCTTCAGAACTATCAAACTTCTCACTCTCCTTGTCTTCTTTACTCAGGTAATAATACTATTTTGTTATACTCTTTTCTTGTTAGCTGATAGCTATGTTTTTAAAAGTTATAAATTTTGTGTGTTTCATTACTCCTCCTCATCTACTTTATCTTTATCCAAAATTTATGTTCTTTTTGTCTTATAACAAGTGCTGTGCAATAAGACAAAACAAGTCTTATATAAGTGACAGTTTACCTTTTTACTGTAATACTTATTCAAAACTCAAACATAAGTAGACTCATAATTCATGTAATAAACTTAAATATATTTAAGTTTCCGAAAATTTAATCTTAAAACTTAAACTATAGCTACAAATTCAAAATAATTTGATTATGTTTAATATTGTTATTTTGAAAAACAAATTTTATATTCTGATTTTTGCACTATTTCAATATGATTAAAGAACTTTTATATATAACAAAATTTAATATACTCGATTGACATTCTGAATCATAGGTCTATAATTAGATAGTTTTATTTATATTTAAATTCTAAAATAGTATTAAATAATTTTTCTTATTTATACTGCTAATAAGATTAATGCTAGAAAATTTATAAATTAATTAATTATGGTGAGATTAATATTAAATTTCCCATACTCTTTTCATCTTTTCATGTATGTATACTGACTTTTCTTTGTGAATAAACAAATCTTAGAGGAACTACTATTATATATATATATATATATATATATATATATATATATATATATATATATAAAGAGAGTAATTTTTAATTAATATTAAAGGGATAATAAATTTAATGTTTCTTAATAAATTTTTACAAGCATTTCACAAATTTTTAATACCAACCTGGAGCACACCATGCCTTAATTAGCGCATATAAAGCATTTAATGTCTTCTGGTGCATTGTCTCCTCTTTTTCTATTTAAAAGAACCTGCTCTGTGTTGTTTGCTTCTTATCACCATTTTTCCAATGGCAACTTCCAATTAACTATTTTTATTCATCTGGGTCCAGATATATAAATGACCACCTAATTTATCATTATGATGAATGTAATATACTTTTAAAATTATAAAAGTATAATGTAGTTTTTTGAGAAATTTGTTGTTATGAATAAGTCACACTTTATGAATACCTTTTTTTCAGATTGTTCTCAACAGTAACTTCTGATGACTGTTTTATTACCAGAACATAGAAATCTCGTACTTACAAATTAACCTCCTATTAATTAAAAAAAATAGTAATTTTGGGAATACATTATACTAATTTAGTAAAAAAATAAAAATAAAGTCCTCTTTAACAAATTTAAATCTTTTTTCATCAACATGTTTAGGTACTTTGTATTAATTAATATTTATTTTTTTCCCCTTCACTTCTTACTTTCCCATATTAAATATTTGAAGCTAGTTAAATACTTGTCAGATATTAAAAAACAAATATATAATAAGCATATATGATAAATTTTGGTGAGATGTCTTATTTCCTTCCAACCCATGCATATAGGTACACAATATATTATAAGCATATATGATAAATAAATGTTATTAATGACATAATAATTAGGTCAACTTTTTATGATACGCATATTGGTGTCACCAACCTTTATATTTATCTCTAGTTTCTTCAAATTCCACATTTTTCTTTTATGGGCATGATCACCTTGGATGTTTAAGAACAGACAAACTTTGGTAGAAAAAAATAAAAAATTAAGAATGTTTGTACGAAAACACAACATGTTAGCTCTTTGTTCTACCTTATTCTGAATACAATTTTATTATTAGTTATACATGTATTATGTTTTTATTAAAAATAACATCAGGAACGAAGTATTAAAGAATGTTACTTAAAAATGCACCTTTTCAAGAACTGCATGAAAGCTAAGATTAGGTCCCAGTTTGACTTTGTGCGATTGAAAATGTTTGCTATGGTGCAAAATAAAAGTTGGGGTGGTTGAAACTTAATGTGATAATCCATTTTCATGTAGTTGGAGAAGGTTGGTGATGTTAGGGTTTATAATGCCTTATTGTGTTAACATCAAAGGGTCCTTATTATGCACCAAATTCAAATAGCACGTGAAAGGTTTTTAACCAAATCACGAGTTACACTTTTTTTTCACCTTTCCATTTAGTCTTTAGTGCCAGTGCTGACCTACCTAACTGGAAACCCCCAGTGAAATTAATGGAATTTTATATACTTTCAAAATATTTTTATTGATAATGATGTTGAGTTATTTTAATATTTACTTTTAAAAATGTAAATTATTTAAAAAAAATACAATACTAGAGCTGTTATATTCAGAATAATAATATTATTTATTCGGTTTTTTCAAATATAGTTTTCTCATTCAAAATATCAAATAATATAATATTGTTTTCTTGATGAAATATTTTTAAATTAGTTTTTAACATTTTCATTTATAGCATAATTTTAGGCCCTCCAATAAATACAAATTTAATAAAAAAAATTTAAAAAATATCTCACACGTACACTTATGAAAGAAAAGTGACCAACCACCTTGCATTGAATTGAAAAACAAAAACAGCGAATGGTGCAAATCCTCTTATTTTTATGAAACATTTATAAAAATAGGTAAATTTTAGTAGGGAATAGGATTTTACGAAGAAGTAATGTTACGTAACATCACTTAAATTTTTGTTTTTTATTTTTTATTTTTAAAGTGAAGTTGTATCATTATAATACAATTTCAATTAATAATATTGAGTTAGTCAAGTTGGACGTGGGGATCTCATTAAAAACAACTGTGGTGTGTTTGGTAAGAAATAAATACACGAGAAATAGGAAAAATGAAAAAAAAAGTGAAATAGAATAGATTTAGGAGTAATTATTTTTAAAATAATAAAATATTAAGAAATTTATTTAATTAAAAAAACCAACATGTTTCTATTTGTGTCTTAATTTATCCTTCTATTTCTACTTGTTTCTATTTTTCAACCATCTTTTTTTTAGCGTTAAAGTGTGTGTGACTAATGTCCCACCTCGAAAGCCTTAACCATCTCCAATCGCATTAACTCACTCCCTTTTGACCGTACTTAACTAAGGACACTGCCCATCCATTCCAACTCATTCAATTTAAAATCCTATGCCGAAGGACAGGGTCCCAGGCCCCAAAAAAGGACTCTGTCCCTTACACCATCTTTACTTTTATAAATAACTTCACCCTTCCTCATGTGTAGTTAGTTAGACACTGGTCTTAACTACAGTTACTTCAAATAGTAATAGTTACTTTACCCACTGGTTTCGTCACTTAAACAACCACTGGTAGTTAAGTTTGAAACCAAAGATTGTGCTACAAATATTGAGGTTTTCCATTTAGATCCCCTAACAATCCTTAAAAAATGGGGTTATATGATTAATATTATAAAAAAATAATTATATAAGTTATCATAAAATGTTAACACAATGTAGAGATTAACTTGTTTATTTATTTTCTTAAAATTTAAAACATTCAAAATAAAAAAGTTAAAATTGATAAAAAAATATTTTATATAATTATTAAATAATTTTTTAAAACGTTTTTTAAATTAATCTCTAAAATTATTTATAAAAATTAAAGAATAAAATAAAATAAAACCTATTCAAAGGAAACTGGTGGGACACTGATGTATCACACAAAAGAAGAAATTGAAGACATGAGATTTAAATGCAGATCTTTTGGGTCATGTTATCCCTTCACATCAATCTTTGGGTCTTTTACTTTATCTTCAAATATCTGTTACCACTGTTTTACAAAACCAATAAAATATTTGTATTTTTGTCCTACTAATATTCTTATTTTATTATTATTATTATTATTTTACATGAATTTTTAAATGTAATTCATATTTACTCTTACATTCTGACTTGGTAATAAAGATATTTCTGACAATTAAAGATATTTTATCATAGTAATTAGTATAATGAATGATTTACTTAATAATAAACGTATTTTTAAGGAACTCTTTTCAAGGTGATTTGTATAACATCTACTGTATACTACTATATCTTTTGCTAAAATCTTCAGCATGGAAAATTAGTTATTCTACAATCACCCTATTTTAAAAGTAAAAAATTATAAGACCTAAATTTGAATGAGATCCTATTCCTTATTTGAAATATATATATATATATATATATATATATATATATATATATATATATATATAATATAATGTCTTGAAACTAAGATGTTATACTTTTACAAAGAACCGTTTCCATAGCCACCTACTTTTTGCTGACAAGATGAGAGAAAGAATGGACCACAAACTTGGCCCAAAATGAACATGTGTATGTGTCAAAAGGGTTTTAGTTCAACTCATTTCTTTTGGGCTGTGGACCCAAATAATTTCATCCCAACTATTCAACCCATTTCAAAGAATCTAAGGCGTAGACATGTATGCATTATTCACTAACTTATGATTTCTGCACTTAAATTAATTCTCCCAACATTACATGAAAATATTTTTGGATCAACATATATTTAAAGCATTCCTTAGTCTCTCAATTTCTTGGCTACTTTTATGAGTCAACCGTGTATGATGTCTAAATGTGTGTAATGGTTACTGTAAAAACGTTTTACTGTGGATTAACTAAAAATAATAATTTATATGGCCTTTGAAAGTTATCAAAATTAGCATATATGACGATTTGTGATTAAATGACTATGTAAATAACTTACCTGATCAGGTGAGATCTGAATGCAAACAAAGAAAATGGACCCTTTCAAAATATTGCTTGTTCCAATGCATGGTTTTATTGTCAAATTAAGATATAGGACAACTACACATAGAAGAGCCATACTAATACCAAAAGTTCAACAAATTATAAATGTATACGGTTTTTTGGTTACTTGGAACCTTTTACTCATGACATGATACATACATACTTTCAGATAGATGAATCAGAGGACAACATTTCATGGAAAGCAATTGGATACTGTGGACCTGATCCAGAATTCAAAGCTCAGTTGAAGAACCACTTTTTAGATGGAAAATCTAAGGGAGGAGAAGAGGATACGGAAGATGAAGATGCTGAAGAGGTGATAGGACCCCTTTACAAAGGTCTTGTCCATCTGAATTACCCACGAGACATCGCTGTAGATGCTCTAAGAAGATTTGGATTCCCTGTTTCTGTCATTCGTAGAAAGCATAAAGCTGCAGCAAAATTGTCTTCACCTTCTTTGGTGATACAATGTGATGCTGTGGTGGTTGGTTCTGGCTCAGGGGGTGGAGTGATGGCTGGTGTTCTAGCAAAAGCTGGTTACAAAGTGTTGGTGTTGGAGAAAGGAGGCTACTCTGCTAGGAACAATCTTTCCCTTCTTGAAGGACCAACCATGGATCAAATGTACCTCAATGGAGGAATGGTTGCAAGTGATGACATGGGTATGTTCATACTATCAGGATCGACTGTTGGTGGAGGGTCAGCGATAAACTGGTCTGCAAGCATTAAAACCCCACGGCATGTGTGCAAGGAATGGTGTGAGAAACATGGGCTAGAGTTGTTTGAGAGTAAATTGTATAGAGAAGCATTGGATGCTGTCTGTGAGAAGATGGAAGTTCAATCTGAAATCGAAGATGAAGGATTCAACAATGCTGTCCTGAGAAAAGGGTGTCAAGAAATGGGGTATCCTGTTAGTACAATTCCTAGGAATTCTCCATCAGATCATTACTGTGGCTGGTGTTGCATGGGTTGTAAGGATGGGAGGAAGAAGGGTACCCAAGAAACATGGTTGGTGGACTTGGTGAAATCGGGCAATGGAGCAATTCTTCCAGGTTGTGAGGCAATAAAAGTCTTGCACAAGAAAAAGGAAAGAACCGATAGAAAGGTTGCACGTGGAGTGGCTTTTGAATTTGAATACAAAGGGACCAAAGACATTTGTGTGGTGGAGTCCAAGGTCACAATTGTAGCATGTGGAGCACTTTGTACTCCATCATTGCTTAAAAGAAGTGGCTTAAGGAATCAGAACATAGGGAGGCACTTGCATCTTCACCCAGTAACAATGGCTTGGGGTTATTTCCCAGATGAACCTGCTTCTGAGGTTTGGCCAGAGGCATATAAGAAGAGCTACGAAGGAGGGATAATGACAGCAATGTCCTCTGTAGTTGCAGAGTTTGAACAATCTGGATATGGTGCAGTGATCCAAACACCTTCATTGCATCCTGGTATGTTCTCAATTGTCACACCATGGACATCTGGGATCGATATAAGAGATCGAATGCAAAAATTTTCTAGAACAGCTCATATATTTGCACTGGCAAGGGATAAAGGATCGGGGACTGTGGACTCACCAAAGAATATCAGTTATAAATTGGCAGGTGTAGATGAAGAGAACTTACAGAAAGGAATTGAAAAAGTGCTGAGAATTCTGGCAGCAGCTGGAGCTGAAGAAATTGGGACACATCATAATGAGGGAAGGACCTTAAATGTAAAACAAGTGAGCTATCATGAATTTGAGAAATTTGTTAAGGAGGAAAGCTCAAGGCCACTGGCAGACCTTTCCACACCATTGTGCTCAGCACATCAGATGGGGAGTTGCCGGATGGGTTCTAATCCAAAGCAATCAGTGGTGAATCAGACAGGAGAAACGTGGGAAATGGAAGGCCTTTATGTGGCTGATACAAGTGTCTTTCCCACAGCTTTGGGAGTGAATCCAATGGTCACTGTTCAAGCTATTGCTTATTGCACAGCACAATCTGTTGTACAAGTTCTCAGAAGGAAAAGAAGTAAATGAGGGGAAAAACACAATATGTGTAGCTCCTATGGTACGGAATATTCAAAACATTGGGCAGAAAAAAACATTGTTCAAATAATTTGGTGAGAAAAGCCATGGTTGAAATTCTAACAACTTAATAGTGAATTTTATATTAAAACAACCGGTTATTACTGTATTTTACCCTGTAAAGTGTTCCCATACTTTCTTTACAGGAATCACATCCTTTTACAAGAGCACTTCTATAACTCAGTAACAATAGACGATCTTCATGTCCTCGCATAACACTAACTATATTTTGACTCCTACATATAAGATGCACAAAAGGGGAATTAGGAATTTTTTGTGACACTAGTAACCACTAGATCCATCGGATCATTTATAGCAAAAGCCTATTGCTTTTGTTACAACATTGTTGAAAACATGAAACACACATGCAGAGAAGCAAATCCCTCCCAAGACTGACAACTTCAATCTGCATGAAATTTAGGAACTCTACAAGCAATATACTATATATGAGCAAGTGAAAACATCACAATATGATTTTTGTCATAGAAATTGAAATTTTGCCATCAAACTTCAAAGTAAAATTTGGGTTATGAAAGGTAAGGTATCTGGAGTATGCAAAAATTACTCAAAATAAACAGTCACTGGCAGTTTTCCAAAATCTTATCCTACAGTCCTCAATATCCAAGAAAGATCCTTCACTTCAATAATACCTACTTTTCATGCATATCCAGTCAGACCTAAAGCAACCCAGAATTATTGCAGCACAAAACCAACAACAGCCAGAAAAAGTAAAGGCATGATATTAGAGGGTCATATTCTCATCGTGAAGTGATTTCATCAGAAATCTTTAATAGCATCTCTTTCACAAAGTAGCAGAATCCCTGCTCCTTTGTGGAGAAGAGGGAAGAGAATTAAATCAAAAGAAAGCAAACATCATCTTAACATTTAACATATAATGCACAATATTTTCCACCCTACTTAGACTAGTTAGTAATAATGTTGCCTTTACATAACATTGCATTTGGTTTACGCGAAGGAAATCTGATTCTCAACTATATGTCATGGCAATCTGACATTATTCCTTGGGAGACATTGTGCCAGACACCTTACTAAAAAATGGAAATGGCATCATGTAAGCAATTCAGATCAAACAAGGCAAAGTTCCCCAACAAATGTTAATGTGAAGCCATAGCAGCTAACCAGGATAAGATATTCTTCTCATGTTACAGCGAAACCCTTAAAACATCAATAATTTACTCATAAATGTAAGTCTTAAACACTCTCTAAAATGCAAATTTATAAAATGTCCAAATCAGCATTTTGGCAAAAAATAAAATAAACTCTAAAAATTGCAATGCGGAACCTTTTTTTTTTTTTTACCTTAAAAATCACAATAAACAAACATATAAGGTAAGCAATCCTAACAATGCAGCACTTAGAAAAAGTATCCTTATCTGTTTTTGGTTAGTGATGGGATTGGAGATTGGTGAGGGGCCATTATCACTGAAATTTGTAAGGCTCTTACAAATTTGAATGAAAGTATTACCGTACCATTTGATAGCTTGATACCGCTACAATCGTCATCAAACAAGAAAACAATTTGAGTTCGTTTTCTTTCTTGCTGAGAAGGTGCAGGAGGAAGAAAAGCACAACGTGACCCAGATGAACATGGAAGGAAAAAAAGGCATAAATTAATATTCTCCCAGCACCCATTTGCAAGGTTTGTTTAATATTTTAAATGCAAGTCTCAAAAGCGAAGAAAGATACAATTTTTTAACTCTGCCAATCCTCACGCACTTTGAATTGGGAATAGGGCTTCAACAATTAACAAGTCCAAGTCAAATTTAAATGGAGTTCGCGATATATAGAATAATATTAATACACCGTTGAGTGATGGTGATTCTACTCTCCCAAGCCCACATGTATTCACAGGAATCGAATCTGCGCCTTTAAAAGAGTAAATCTTTGAGGAAACGTCAAAGAAAGAGCCTTAAAACAGAAGAGGGTAATCAATGCTAATTACAATTACCAACTCTGACACCTTAATTTTTAATTAATTTTGCTATTTATATCAATGTGGCCCCACACAACACGTCAAAGAGATAAGAAACTTCTATCTGTCATTTGGGTTTAAACTGGGAAATGGGAATATAGACTTTTCTTTTCTCATGAAAAGTGGCATAAAGAGAAGCCTCACCGCATAAATCGATAGAGAGGAGAGAAGAGAAGCTTTCCTATAAAAGTGGCAAGTAATTATATAGTACTTAATTTCGAGGGCAATTATGTATGTAAACTTGTTCATATAAATAATGTAGAGAAGAATAGGAAACTTCCTTACTAGTCCTTAGTATCGCCATTGAGGAATAATGACCATTCTAGACAGATAATTGTTGTTTATATGATACATTAAAATTTTGCGCAATTTATGTCACCGAATTGGGCTTATTCTTGGTGTCTATCTCTATCCTGGTAAAAGCCATTTCAGCTAGCGGTTGACTAGCTACAAAACAAATGGAAAAGGTTTAGCTGATTTTCCAATTCAGGATATATGCAGTTAGGAATGGTATCTCCTTCAAAACAATGATAGACATATTGGGAAGGAGGTCTCAACAACTACAAAGGAAGCAACTCAAAGAAGAAGGGGATGGCCAACTCGTTCAAGGCACCAAGTCCTCTTTCTATTTGAGTAGCTTCAGAATTATTCCCTATTATCTCTTCTCTAGTGTCTTCACAGAATCAATCACCCCACCATGGTTGAAAGTCCTTCTAAATGCAAATTCACATTCATCTTCTTCATCATCGTTTCCCTCTCTCTTGGCTTAGTTTCCTTCTCCTTGTGCATAGTCTCTGAAATTAAGAGGAACAAGGTCTACACTTGAATTCATTAAGACTTTGCAGTTTGAAGTTTTTTGCTTCTTTTTTATGAAACTGGTACTGAATTATGATGCCTTGTTTGTTTTGTAGAAGGAGGATCTCAGATGGAATGGGAAACTATGTCATTTACCATCAAGTCCAGCATTTGGATTGGGTATCGCATCATTGGTTTGTTTGGCTTTGGCCCAGAGCATTGGGAATTCTATATTATTCAAGGATTGTTGTTCAGGAGGGAAAAGAAACGCACGGTTTAAGATACCTATCGTTGTAAGGATTTTGCTTTCGATCTCTTGGTAAGTTAACAATCTTTTGTATATCTGTTCTTAGTTGTTGGCGCATCACATTCAACGATCATAGATTGAGAAAGCAAGACAGTTTGTTTGCTTGATTATTGGCTCGTGCATTGTCATCATTTACCTGTTAGAATGGACATATTTGCTCTATGAACTAGTTTGATTTCTTTAACCACATTATAGAAAGTGGACACACCACCATCCAATCTAGTTGTCAAAGAAAATTTCTTTCTTCAGGTTTGTATTGATTTTGACAATAAAATAAGACTACATCATTTTCCTAAACTATGTACCACGTGGTTTTCCATTATTGGCCACAGGTTGGCAAGTTGAATAATTTTCAGGATGAAGATTCCATAGCTAGAAAAGTAGGGGAAGGTGGGTTGGAGATGTGGAATTAACAGACTGTTGGCCTGTTCTTCAAAAACCTACAAACATTTTTTCTGATATGAAAAAGAATATATGTTGAGAATTGAGAGTATAATTTTGCCTTTGAAACATGTCAAACAAATATAAGTCTAACATTGGAACTGTTTATGCTTGGCAGGGTTGGCTTTGGAATTGCAGTTATTTTATTAATTGCTGCCACAAGCATGAGCAAAAGGCAGCCGTATGGGGAGGGGTGGTTGAATAGTGAATGCTATCTTGTAAAAAAGGGGATTTACGCTGGTTCAGCCATGTTGATTTTAGTTACAGTAGGTACATTAATTGGTTCAGCTTTGTTAACAATGAAGAACAATAAGGCAGATCAGGGTCACAAGATACACGCACAAACGGGGTGATACTAGGGAATAAAGAATTTGTACATGGAAAGAGTATTATAGTAAAATGCAGAGTCAGAGTGTTGACGCAAACCAAGAAGCTATAAAATGGATTGAGGATCATCAACTACTATAGAAAGAAGCCTCAAAAGTTGCATAGGGAAAGATCCAAGACCAACGAGAGTCTTCCAATGGAATACTAATCTTTAGGTGTGAAAGAAGGTGCTGGAGGCAACAAAAGAATCATTGAATTGTTTGTCAAATGTCCCGAGGAATAACTACATTTTTTTTCGACTTACATTATACGAAAGAGACATTTCTTTTGTACACATTCTCTCCGAGGTAGTAACTGCCTCACATAGGAACTCATTTTGTATCCCACCCGCATAGTTTATAATTGTTTTCTATTTTTGTTTTAAACATATAGTTTTCATCTGCTTAGTTGTTGCCATCGTTTAATTTAATTTTAAAATTTATACGAGTCGCAGGCCAGGCCGAGTCATATTTATTTCCTCAGGGAGGCCACGCCCGAGATAGCACCTCAAGAACATAATTCAATTCTTAATAATGATATCACAAATTCACAATTACGGCCTAAAATTAATTGTCAGGGCTTTGTATTTGAATTTCAAAAATTAGCTTTTAGAGAAAAGTAGACAACCATATACTCTGAATTTTATAGTTCAGCTACCTCTGTCCTTTCTTGGATGCACAAAAGCTGCCAATCATATTTCTGGTCTGCCGGTACAAAGGGTTTAAATTTCACAATTACATTCCGAAAATTATAAATTAATCAACAGTTCCTCTACAAACGCAATTGATCACAGCCTAACGATTGCAGGCTTGAAAAATCAGAATTCTGGTAAAAGGTCTTATGGAATAAAGTGATGTTTAGAACTCTCGTGTGCCGATAGTATGAGAGATGCCATGAGGGAGAGAATGTTGAATGTGGCAAATTAATTTCAAAAATTAAAATAAAATTTAGAGTCCTAACATTTATAATAGTTTCATCTTAATCCTACACTAAATCGTTTATTAACATTATTAGACTGTGGGCCATTCATCATGAGGACCCGGCACTCCCATTCCAACATGTCCAAACTCTTTGATTTTTTCGAAGACTGAAGACAAAAACCAAACGCTTACAACGTTGCTCATTTTCAATCAAAGATGACTAAAAAAAATTAGCCGCCCTTGTCGCAAACGCTAGCTTGACGTGTTATAACAAAGAAACCTGCCCATCGGTGCTTACAAGGACTAGATTGGCAAAAATTATCAAATAAAAATAAAGGCAATGTTATTTTAACAACTCATTTCCACACATCACATTCTCTCAATCACACCTCTATTGGTCCCCTCCCCTCACCCATTTCATCATCCACACCCAACACTATTGCAAGTGATTCAGAGGTGTAAAAAATAATGCCAAAAAATAACATTTACCCTAACTATATAATTCATGATAATGGCATATAAAAGAATGACTAAAGATATCGAAAAGTAGCACATTGAATTGTAATGTAGACAATTTTATCAGCATTTTAGAAGTTATCATTAGCATAAATCTTATCATCCATAAAGGTCGCTAGGACATATGCTAACAACGGCTATGTATTTCCAAAACATGTCAATTTTTTAATAGAGAGAAAATTGATTCACTACAAGAGTAAGAGTTCCTCCGGTTACAGATTGGTATATAGAATTATGGACAGCAATTACTTGAAACGTCAAACACCAGCTCATGAACTAAAAAAACATGAACATGGCGGTCAATTAAGTTTGATATTCCAGCATCCACCTACGAAGGTTCCAAAAGCATGTTAATATCATTGATACAAAGTCAAAGATCCCACAGCAAATCTAGGCAAAATTGGCGGGGAGCTTTGGAAGACAGGAGATAAACAGAAAATCCGGATACCACTAGAGAGGAAAGTTTGGACCACGCCCTCTCCCACTATAGCCATAACCCCTTCCTCCCCAATTATACGAGCCCCTGAAATTCTCACCCCGTCCAGAAGCACCATAACTAAAATGATGCCTCTGCTGGAAATTGCCAAATGTCTGAAAAGGAAACGGATACATCAACATTATTGTAGTTTAAGGATAATTTCATACCCAGAAATTTCAGTTCGTAATGTGTTAGCTGACCTCGGTATCCTGTTTCATTCTCTCAGAGAAACGATTTTGTCCATTCCTTGATCCACGGGTCAAAGAGTTACAAGAAATTGTGTCAAAAAAGTCATCTTTTTTGTATGCTGACTGCAAGGAAAGGCAAGAATATAAGATTTATTCAAGTTCAAACAAAATTTGCTATCCGGTGCTAAAACCACATGCTCTACAACTTGTGTTTACTCCATCCATTTCAAAAAGGAAAGAAATTTTAATAAAGGAAAACATTCTGAGTCCTACCTTATGGTTTGTTATCATCTCATGATATTGTGTGTCACCCAAATTGAGAGAAGTAATATCCTCCATTCCCTCTATTTTTGCGGTTGCCTTTCCAAGAGAATCCCATACTTCATCCTTTCTGAACTTTTCATTCATGGCCTCAAAATCAAACTCTTCAGTGAATTGTGGAGCTGTGTATCGAGGCTGCAAAAATCAACAACACATGAATACTATGATATTTACATGTATATAATATCTGGAGAGGTTATACTAAAAAGGGAGTTAATACATGACAACTTGGTAAATCTGGAGAGGTTAGATATATGCAGCTTTACCCTCTGTAGCCTGCAGTTCTCAACGCAGCATTCTTATGGTTGTGTTAAGTCTTGTCCTCGTTATTAATTTATTATAATATTTAAATGTATTAGTTATCTGCCATACTTTGCTAGCATGTAATCTTGTAGACAAATGCTTCTAGTTGCGGAAACTGCCTCAGCTCACAAGATAAGAGGCTATGTACATTTGACCCTCAGCCTAAACAATGATGGGAACCTCATGCATAAACCCACGCTTTACAAGTTATCCAAGTAGTGAAATTTATCCAAATTGGTTAAATAACATCAACTTTCCAATTGTACAGTAAAAAATATCTAAGTAGCACAAAAAATGGTGAAATGAATAGTAGTCAATGCCAAAGTTAGCAGTGATTTTTGTCCTAAGAAATTGGCAATGCAAAAAACCAAGAGTAAGAAGCATGCAACCCACAAAAATTAGACTTACATACCTATTTTTATGCCTAATTCGAAAAGAAAGACACAGCTTCCAGATGCGGTTAGAAAACAAGAAATATTTTTCTATATATTTGAGGAAACAGTCTTCACAAATGAATTGGACTATGCTTAAATTTGAACACTTCACTCGATAAAAGTGTGATTGGTAAATTTAAGCAATTCCATTTTAACTTACTATGACCAGAGAAGTGAGTGAACAACAATAGAGTTTTGTGAAATTTTATAGGCACAGCCTAATAGTCAAAGCTATGTTAGCCTGTTAATTTGGTATATTAGCAACACAGGAAATTTTAATAATCTCCTCATCAAATATCCATTTTTCCTATGCCTCAAATACAGAATTGCAGGTTTAAGGTAAGAATATCTTATAAATGACAGTCCCTATCCACATCGTGTGAAATCTTCAATTCCATATCAAGTCCAAACAACATTAAAGTTACAAATGAACAGAAAACCATGAAAGGTTAAGCTATTCCCGATCAATTTTAAATGAGTCTTTAAACTCCAGTAGGTATAAAGAAAATCATCATGCATTTGTGATTTCAAAAAAAGACCAACAATAAGAAGCCATACAAAAATATCCCGCCTTGCCCAAACTGCACCACTCCCACAACTCCCACAAAGAGCGTATGAGTAAATTTTCTAACCTTTTGCACTGAAGTAGGTAGCGGAAGCAGTGGTGCCTGAGATGCAGGGAAGGGCATTAATGCAGAGGAACCAGAGGTTGTTAGACTCAGAGAACCCATATCCTTCTGAATAGGGTTCAAATTATGTTTAATGGATAATAACCTTTCCCTAGGATTTGCAAATTGATCTGGAGTTAACAAAGAGGGTGGTGCCATTGGCAAGGGACCTAAAGTAGAATCTACAAATGAAGGGGCAGAATGTTGAGGATGAATTGGCCTTGGGTCAGGACAGATGTTTCCAGATATTTGAGCTCCAAACGAATTTATGTCTTGAAAAGGTGAAGAAAACTGAGGCATGTTTGATCCATCAAAAGTCAAGGATGCAGAATATGGCACAGGTATCTTAGTAGACAAAAGGGATGGAACATCAAGAGAATCGGAATTTGTTTTAGAGGTAAGAGAAGGTGAATGAGTCAGATGAAGAGAAGAAGTCATGGCAGAGGATACAGGTTGACCACACTCTGAAAAACCTGTCCATCCCCCTTTTGTAGGTAACTGAGTTTCTGCATTTTTCATCAGATTCTGCATGGCTAAGGATGCTGCCATTGATGGGGGATAAAGGGAATTAGATTGTAGCAGAGAATGAGAACTACTGCTAGACATATCACTAGGTCCCTGCCTATACATTGCCGAAGAAAAAGATGGATGACTATCAACTTCAGTAGCAGCAGATGAATTTGAAGGTCCCAGGTGTGTTACAGACTGATAAGAAGGCAACCCAACAGGACCGGGTTTACTGGATATAGCTGGGGTATCTTTCCTTTGAATTGGTTCTGTCAAATTAACTGAGGCCACAGGAGAACTTGGTGACTCAGAACATTGCGACTGAAAGCAAAAAGACAAATGATTTATAAGAAATAGTAAAGTCATGGAAAAGTATATGATTTCAGAATACCATTTATTTTTATGATGTCCTTTAACAGGGGTACCTGAATAATAGCTGGATCACTAAAACCCTGCTCTTCTGATTTAGAAGATGTGGAGGGTGACTTGATCTGCAAATTCTGAAGGGGCAAAAAATTGATAAGAACATTCACAACTTAGATAATAAGCATATTAGGCATGCAAGACAAGTTCTTGAGACCAAATGGTAGTTTCACAGCTATTGATAGGGAATCACTAATACATATGCACCCGGTAATTACATTTTTCAGAGACTAAATAAGTCAACAGCTTCTGATTACTGTTTTGTGCCATGCACTCAATTATTATTTACTTTTAGTTGTTCTGTTCAAGACCTTCAGATTACATTTGTCCGTTCTCTATTTCTCAGGCTTAATCCACTGTGGTGGAGACTATATGTCTAGTAAAACTTCAAAGAGTGAAACTCCCCTCAGTATAGAACTTAATCTTCAGCCGCTTTGTTGGAAATGAGACTAATGTCTAGCCAAACTTGAAAGAGAGATTTGATCAAACCTTCAATCAGCCAGCTTTCATTGGTAATTTCTTTGTAATTTCTCCGACAAACTTTTAAATAGCCATCATCAACCACCCCTCAGGACCAATGAGGAGCAAAGATGCCAGATAAGTAATTAGTTGGAAACCAGGCAGGTGAAAATTAATGAGAACAATGAAAAGAAAAAAATAAATCTTGTTGGTGAGGGTTTTATTATATGGAACATGAATCATCACTGACACAAACATGATCAACCTGGAGGAGAATTGAAGAAAAGAAAGATTACAATTAACAAGCCTCTAAAATCTATCAATTACACCAAAGAATATGAGTTTGAGCAATATTGCCATTGAAAACAATGCACAGCAATAGAAATGTCTTCCATTATGTGAAAGATTTGTTCAATGAAACTTGCGGATGAATAAATGGCAAGTTAAAACATGAAATCTCCAATGACAAATTGTTCATAAATCCTATAGATGTGTTATAACCCTGAACAAAAATATATAACAGTTACCCGGCCTTATTCTACAAGGTGGGATGAGATACTTCACAGCAATAATTAGAAACATACCAGATCATAGCAATATTCACATACCATATCAGTTAAACAATAATGCTATTACCTTAATATCATTTCCTCGGAAAAGAATGTATTCATAAACCTTATCACTAGGAGGAACTTGTGTCCCATCTTTTCTTCTTCCCTCCGTTCCATAAGATCTAACTGCAATGTCGTATCAGAAGAGTTCCCATGTTAGAAAGAAACTTTCACATTAAAGAAATACAATTTTTAGAATGGATTCTAGAGGACTAGGATAGCCACATAAGAAAGTTCATCTTTTGGAAACTAATTAACTGAATATCTAATATCAATTTTAATTCCAAGCAAAAATAATTTTAAGCATGTATATTTCAAACGAACAAATTACTTCACGCAGACAAGGATAATGATATAATAGTTAACTTGCATTAAGTCAAAACATACTATCAAATATCAATAGCTCATAACTCTCATACAAGTTTTACATAAATATGAATAATCAGTCAAATGAGAAACATTGAAGTGATTATCAAAACAGGAAACCATGTTTTCCATTATGTAAAGAAATAAACAGAGGTGTCTGTTCTTCCAGGTTACAAAACAACTAGAGGTGGGAATTCTAGCATCTACTCTACGAAAAAAGGTGTAGCGTTAGACAACAAATGGATGAATATCATTACTCTAAAATGTCATACAATTCAAACCAAGGCCAAATTATCAAAAGAAAGAACTATGATTAATATGTCAACATTTCTGCCCTAGGAGCTAGGACAATGATAGTGGCTCCCACTCCAAAATTTCTGTTAAAGAAAAGACAAATTCGTGTAATCATCAACCTATTAATTCTGCAATGTCCATTCATCCATCGCCAGCATTTTAGGCATAAAGCCAGTACTAATAACCTAAGTAAATCCAAATAGTGTCACCAATGTTTTTAAATTGCGGTCACGGTTTCATCACATTCCCTGATGTTGCAAACAAATGCGGCCACAATTACAGTTTAAGGCATCTCTTCCTCCTGAATAAAGCTAAAGTTCCATGATCAAGCATCCGTTATCTTGTCTAATCAAATCACCAATGAAACACTTCTCATCCTATCAAATCCAGCGTCGGTAAACGAAGCTCTGAATCATAGAAATTACTCAAACAAAGCTCCGAGCCTCGTCGACAATCGCAAAACAAAATATACAGTGATTTCGTTGCACAAGTAACGAAACTCAACGTTACGCTAGCGGTTCACGTACCGTTTTTCAAGCCGATGGTGGAATCCTGAACGCTAAGGAAATAAAGAACGCCCTCGTAGCGAATCTCGCACTTGGAAATCAAGCTTATGAAGCAGCCAATGAAGGACTCCGTGGAATTGGACGGAGGAGTTGAAGGACCGTTGGCGCCAAATTCACTCTCCATGTAGCGTGGCAAGGATGTGGAAGCGGTAGTTCGAAATGGAAGCGGAAGCTGGTTCGCGATCACTGTGAGAGAAAGAATTCAAAGATGAAAGTAAAATGAAGAAAATTTTTGCTCGGTGTTACGCCCCTAACATTAGGGTTTCTCTTTCCCTCTCTGAGGATCGATTTAAACGGTTGTGTTGTGCCTTGCTTCGCGTTTGCCTCGCGAGGGTATTGCGTTTGTGAAAATTTTGTAATATGGAACGAGACTCTGACTAAATGGACAAAATAACGCTTTTATAAGCGATAAAAAGCGGGCTTTCCTTCTTCTTCCATGGTCCCTTCAAATTTAAATTGCCTAAATATACGATACAATTAATTAATTACTAGACGTAAATAATTAGTATCTTTGTAACGAAATAGAAATTGTTATTCACAAAATAGGAAATAAGTAAATAATGATATTTATCTTACATTATATTATTATAATCGTAACATAGATTGAAATTTCAATTCACTAAGGGAACCTCAAAATATAATAATATAATTTATTTATATATTATACATGTAAAAGTAGTTCACTCGAAGATATTCCACTAAATTATCCCTATAGTCACATCTCCATCTCTCAACTCCTGATCTGCTTCCACATAAAAGTGATCATCGTAGTCCATCCACTAAGAAAAAATAAGGGATAAGTATTAAATCATTCGATATAATAAAATAGATATAGAAGTAATAATTATATATTATGATCAATTACGAAATCATCAACACACTAAGACACCTTCCGGAAGTATACCTTAACTATGTCCGAGGATACATATATGAGGATAATTTATAATTGATAGGCAATGGGGTAGAGATTGACTTACAATCTTGCATGTTGAAGCGCCGCAAGACTTTTTTAAGATAATTCTTTTGAGAGAGCCAAATATTTCTATCATTTTTGTCTCGGTGAATTTACATCCCTAAAATTTTGTTTGCGAGTCTCAAGTCCTTCATATCAAATTCCCTAGCCAACTGTGTCTTCAATTCTTGGACTCGATCTTTATTGGGACCTACCACCAACATGTCATCCACATACAACAGCAAAATGATGAAATCGTTATCATCAAACCTCTTGTAATACGTACAATGGTCTGAACTCAGCCTGTTGTATCTAAGGCTAATAATGAAGGAATCAAATCTCTTATACCAACACCTTGGCGCCTGCTTTAAACCGTACAAAGATTTGGTCAACCTACAAACCAAGTTTTCTTTTCCTTGTTCTTCAAAGCCTTCTGGTTGGAGCATATAAATTTCTTCTTCAAGTTCTCCATGAAGAAAAACAGTCTTTACATCCAATTGTTCAAGATGTAAGTCAAATGCAACACACATAGCCAACACTACTCTGATAGTGGTAAGTCTAACCACCGAAGAGAGTATCTCATTGAAATCAATGCCTTCCTTTTGAGCATATCCTTTTACTACCAGTCTTGCATGATACTGTTCCACTTTATCATTACCATCACGTTTGATCTTATAAACCCATTTGTTGCCGATGACTTTTCGGCCTTGTGGAAGTGCAACAAGCTCCCATGTCTTGTTTTTGTGTAAGGCTTCTATTTCTTCTTGCATTGCTGCCATCCACAGAGAAGCATCTGAACTACTCACAGCCTCCTGAAAGGTTGACGGTTCTCTCTCTTCTGTTAGAAGACAGTATGCATCATGACTTGTCATTACATAGTCTGAGTGTCAAGATGGTCTCCTTATCTGACGTGTTATTCGTCGAACTTCTATATCATTGACCTCTTTTGATTCTTGTTCCTCATGCTCTGGTTTTGCTTCTAAAGAATCTTCTTCTCCATACTTTCTATTTATTTGTACAGTATTAACATCTTTAAAAGTGTTGTCATTTACTTGTTCATTTTGCAGTTCATTCTCTGCAAATATTACGTCTATGCTGACAATAACCTTGCGGGCAGTGGGATCCCACAGGCGATACCCCTTAACTCCGTCAGCATAGCACAAGAATATGCATTTTCTGGATTTTGGATCCAACTTTGTTCTTTCTTGGGAGTTGTACATTACGTACACAGGACATCCAAACACATGTAGAGAAGAGTACTCTGCTGGCTTTCCTTTCCACATCTCCATAGGTGTCTTTAAACCAATCACTGTTGATGGAGATCGATGTATCACGTAACAAGTTGTCTTCATTGTTTCTGCCCAAAAAGACTTGGCTAATTTTGTTGTTCGCAAGATAGCTCTAGTCCTCTCTAGGAGAGTTCTATTCATCCACTCTGCTACACCATTTTGCTGAGGTGTATGAGCAACCGTGAACTGCCTCCTTATACCCTCCTGCTTTCAGAATGCCAGAAACTCACCATCTGTATATTCTCCTCCATTGTCTGTCCGTAAGCACTTGATCTTCTTCCCAATTTCAAGCTCCACTTGTGCTTTGAATTCCTTGAAAACTGGAAACACATCTAACTTTTTCTTAATTGGGTATACCCACAATCTCCTAGAGTAATCATCAATAAATGATACAAAATATTTAGCTCCTCTTAGGGACATTTCCGGTGACTCCCACACATCAGAATGTATCAAGTCAAGTATGTGTTTGCTTCTAGTAGTTGACTTTTCAATCTATGTTGTTTGCTTGTCACACAGTGCTCACAGAAAGATAAGCTTACCGATGTGAGCCCGGGTAAGAGTTTACGTTCCGCAAAAACCTTCAAGCCTCGTTCTGACATATGACCTAGTTTACGATGCCACATTGTTGTTGATTCCTCTTGACTAGCCGATGCAACTGATACATCTGCCTCTTGCAACGTATCTCCCAAAAGCATGTATAAGTTTGCAGCAAACTTCTCTGTTTTCATCACTACTAGAGCACCTTTTACTACTTTCAAGATCCCACCTTTTATATGGGTCTTGTAACCGAGGTCATCCAATTGCCCAATAGACAATAGATTCTTTCTCAAGCCCTTCACATGCCCCTTGAATTATGTGAATAGTACCATTGTACATCTTCAATTTGATAGTACCTATTCCAACAATTTTCAAGGCATGATCATTACCCATGAACACAGATCCCTCTGAGATAGGTTTATAAGTGCAAAACCAATCTCTTCGTGAAGTCATGTGCCATGTTGCTCCCGAATCTATTATCCAAACATCAGTGAGCTGCTTTTCACCTTTGGAACCAATAGCTGCTTCGCTATACAGGATTTCTCCATCATCAGAGGTACTGGCAACACATCCTTGAGATGTAGTTGCCTCAGAAGACTTATCTGCATTTTTCTTCTTCCAACAATCTTTCTTCAAGTGTCCTCTCATGCCACAATAGTAACATTTGAAATTCTTCCTTCCTCGAGATTTTGATCTACCATGATTTTGACTCCCATTAGAGCCACGCTCTGTTGATCTTCCTCTCATCATCGTCAAAACCTCTGCTTGCTTGGAATTTTCCAATCTATCTACCTTATTCTTGCGTCTGGATTCTTCTTCTAGAGTAGCTCCAACAACATTCTCAAAGCGTAGATTTCCTTCCATATTAGTATTTGTTATGTTGATGATGAGTTGATCGTATGAGTTTGGTAGGCTCTGAAGTAGAAGTTCTGTACGCTCATTTTCAACTATGTTAAAATCTGCTGCTGATAGTTGGGCAAATAAGGTGTTCAAATGATTGATGTGGTCCGTCATCGATGTGGACTCATTTATCCGAAGAGTGTAGAGTTTCCGCTTCAAGAATATCCTTGTGTGGAGAGACTTCACCTCATATAATTTGATGAGGGCATCCCAAATCTCCTTCGCTGTATTCTTTTCCGCAACACTGGATAGTACATAATCTGCCATTGCTAAATGCAAATTTACGATAGCATTGCCGTCAATTTCCTTCTACTTCTGATCCGTCATTTCTGCGGGTCTTCCTTCAATTGCATCAAGGCAATTGTCCTTTCTTAAAATTGTCTTCATCTTCAATTTCCATAACGAGAAATTGTTCCTATTGAACTTCTCTATCCCATACTTTGCTGCCATGGTTGTATTTTCACTTATGCAACTCTCACTTATGAATAGTATTGTCTACTGGAACAATAGTAGTAGACCGTGAACCAGTACATCAGGTAAGTTCCCAGGAAAGAGAGGTGAGTCACTAATGGACACGTCTTTCCTAGCCAGAACTTCCACAGACAACAGTTTCACACTATCACACCTTTTCCAGTAAAAACTTTTTTTCTTATGTGGAAGATCAGATTAAACTGCAACCACAGAGCATACTAAGAATTTTATCAACACTATTCTAGTGACTAGCGCAACGGAATAAGAACGTGGCTCTGATACCATTGTTAGGTATCATACTACTTGCACAAGAACTCAACTAAAATAGAGAAGAGAAAAATTGAATAGCAATAATAAACAAAAGTAGAAATTTTATAATAGGAAGAAAAAATTACACACCCCTTCTCTAGTCCTAAGAATGACAACCCTTTCTAATATTAGAGAAAGAAAGAAATTTTGGGATGGATAGAATGGGGGTATGTGGTTTCTTATATAACCACTCACCCATACCCCCTTTGAAGTACCCACAGATGTGAGACTTTGTTCTCACACCAATGACTTACCTTTCAGGAGAGTTCATTATCTCACACTAAAAGAGAGAAATTGAGTGCAAGCCCAAGTCGAATTGGATGTGTTGACAGGAGATCTGTGTGGCTGAAGCAGCCTAATAATTACAACATAGGTGAAATCAAATGACAATGTAATGCATAACATAAACAATTTATGAACTAATTCAGTGCTGAAATACAAGAGATAGAAAAATTACCTCATATCCTTTCAATGACTGCTCAACTGCCTCTTTCCTTTCTTGGTCAGTCTTGAACTCAGCAAGATATCGAAAATAATCACCTTTCCTGACTCAAAATAAGAATAAGGAAATAAGGAATACCAAAACAAAATGTGATAATAATAGCAAGCAAAATGTAAAAAAAAAAAAAAAAAATCCAATGACTCATTCATAGCATTGGAGTACCTATAAAGCCAAGAATTACTCGAGCTAAGGGTTACTCTACCAATCGGGTAGACCAAAAAATTGGTCATCAAATCATTATATACACACCATATTCTTTTTAGGGTATTTTCTTTTTTGTGTAGTTATAATGATCTTTTCTGATTAAATTCTGAAAATATATATCAGGTGTTGGTCTATGATAGTCAGAATATCACCCCAAATTTTAGAGAGTTATTCCTCAACTTTTTGGCTGACAGTAACCCTTGATCAGTTTAAGGGTTTAACATTGTCCTCATTTCTCTTAGACTCTTCCTTCTGCTCAATTGAGGACATGATGCGCCAAGAGGCTCTCCGTGCACCAATGACATTTTTGTATAGGAGGTTCCTTTCTTCCACAGTTGGATTAAAATCAAGTTTTGTTACTTTCTTCATACACTCAACCATTTCTGCATAATAAATATTAAGTTTCAAATGAATATTATTGTGTCGATACAAAAACTAGAGCAACCAAGGTTTTTCTAACTAGCCTACGGGGTTCAAACTGCTCCTCCGACTCCGACTCTGGTTCCGGATCCGGTATGAGATGGTTTTTAAACCTACTAGAGCAACCACAGTCTCCAATATGAGATGGTTTTTAAACCTACTAGTATAAAAACATAACTTTAATAAAAAATAAAAAACAAAAAAAATATTACTTGAATGAGATGGTATGCCAGACAATAGTGAACTCGTATCTGCCATAATTACGCGATCTTGATCATATCATTTTCTAGCACATCAAAGAAGGAACCAATGTATAACACTCTTCGAGTAAGGTATATTTACATATATTCTGATTGGTGATTGATATTCTATTATGCCCAATTTCATATTATATAAAAAATAAGATTTCATATTATATAAAAAATAAGAAATAACAGATGATCATATTAATATTAAACAAACAAAACGCTAAAAATTGTCCACAACTAAATGTTCGGGATAGTAGACAGAAAAGAAAGTCCATAACTAAATATTCGGAATAATAGACGAGAAAAGAAAATAAAAAATAATAAGAAAATAAAACTTTATCGCTGTGTTCGAGATAATAGACAAAAAAGAAAATAAAAGATAAAAAATCCAGACATCAAATAAAAAAGAAAAAGAAACTTCATGCTTTGTTTATTACCTGGAAAAAAATAGTATCAAAAAATTAAAAATTTACAAAAGATAACATATATTTTTATTATTATAATTTATATATTACTTACTCATTCTCTTAATCCTTTTCTTGCTCTTTCTTCTCGATAGATCCGAAATATAGTCTTTAACTCACTTGTTGTGAAACTGAGATACATATTAGCCTTGTTAAGAGTATTAAATTTTTTTCCAAAATTTTGAGCATCTACGAGAAGATGTTCAACTTCTAAAGCTTTTCTTAATCTTTCAAAATACTTGTGCAAGTAACTCCTTGTATATTTCTAAATAACTTCGTGAGATCTGAATATCAACTCTGTATATTTCTAAATAACTTCGTAGATTTGACTATCAGCATCGTGATCGTGATTGCTAGATCGTAATCGACTATCGACAAAACACTAACACTTTCATCACTACTCATCACTTCAAAACATTCAAAAAAAAAATAATAAATAATATTATTAATTATAATAAAAATATACAATATAATAATAAATAAATTTATATTAATTATAATAAAAAAATATAATATAATAATAAATAATTTAATAAATTATAATAATAAAAAACAATAATAAATAAATTTATATATTATAATAATAGAAAAATAATTTCTATTATTACATCCGTATACAGCTTTTAAAAATGATTGCATTTTAGTAAGAAGCAAAATTCACTATATACTTATATACTTATTCGTGAGTATTAATTAAAAAATTCAATTCTTTTATATAATATTTTTACCTCACTCGATTAAATAAACTATTGAACGTGGACTTAAAGAGATCAAATCTCTCGTTCGCACGCTCCCTCCTCCTCAAATCCTCCTCCCTTCCTCTCACAGAGCCTCAACTGGTGGACCCCACCCCTCTCCCTCCCAACCCTCTCCCTCCCAACCCGCCTCCGGCAGCCTCCTCTACCACCAGCCTCCTCTACCACCAAAACTGGCGCTCCCCTCTCCCTCTCCAACTCGCTCGCCCCCGTCGGTTTATACAACCGTGCCTCCTCCGACCCCCTCGACCCTCATGTGCTCTTCGACCTCTTCGATGACTGCATGGCCTCGCACCGCTGGACCGAGGTCAAGTGCCTCTTCGAGACCTGGGTCCGCGCCCTCGACAAGAATGGCAAACCCAACAGCCCCGACGTCAACCTCTTCAACCACTACCTCCGCGCCAACCTTAATGCTAGGGTAAGTGTTAGTACTTTGCATGCTATATTTAATTAGATATTTGCCAAGTTTTAAATTAGTTTTTTGGGTCTATAACTGGCTGAAGCTTACTAATATATGTGTCATAATATTCATTTTCTTTCCCCTGTAACTGATTCTTTGGTATGATTGTAATTTACACATCCACTTTGTTATGGGTTTGATTTTAGGAAAATTTCTTGTTTTGGAATTGCTGGTAAAACTGCTTACCAGGCAAGAGGTGACAGTGGTTTAGTTATATGTTATCTTAACTAATTACACATTTAGTTAATTGTTATTGGATTCAAAAAATTGTTAGGATTTCCTGAATACTGTAATTGTTAATCTTGATGTAGCTGAGAGTCCACCTTTTTAAAAGCCAGACACTTAAATGACAATGATTTAAAAGTTGGAGTTGTGTCTAATTTCCAGCTGATGTGAGATTCTAGCTTCATTGTCAACTCATCATGTTTTAAAGAACAACCTGTGCACACAAGAGGGTAGACAGAGTGGGTTCTATGTCATTTGGGGTGAGCCCACTCCTAATAGCTAGGCTGTTACGAAGGCAGGCTCTGTACATCAAACAACGTTTTGTTTCTTGCACTCACATGAATGGACCTTTCTCTTGCGTCATATCCTCTCATTATTGAAAAATAATCATAAAATTGAAATGCCAATAAGCACACCAATGAGACTAACAACTGTCAAAATTACTTAGTAGTTTGTACAATGTCTTTGTCTGCGGTATTTTTATGTGTAATTGAGCACATTTTCTTCTTTATATATCAAGCTTTGCTTTCTTATTATGATATTACCAGATGCTGCAAACAGGAAATGACGCTCTCCCTGACGACGAATCATATGACTTAGTCATTGGAATGCTCTTTTCCATAGTCCAGAGTGATACTGCATTCAAATATATAAATCAAATTTTAAAATCCAGTAATGTCTTGTCAACGAAGGTATTTATGAACTGTGTGAGGAAGGCTTGATACATTGGTGACAATAATTGAAAGGTGCAGGGTGAATGATTAGTTTTGTTGATGCATAATAAATTTTAGCTAATTTGTAACTTTGTACCTCCTTTAATTCTTGATCTGTGATTTTAGTCACTATATTTTTTCTGTGACTTTAGTCCCCATATTTTAGAAATTGATGCAGTGACTTTAGTCCCCATATAATAAAGTCATTGATGCAGTGAAATTGACATGAATAACATAAGCTAAGGTCAGGTGCATTTTACATCCTCTATATGGTTCTTTATTACCATTTTCATTGTCAGTTGTTTCATTAGGTTGCATTCCAATTAATGTTGTTAATCTTGATACTTAGTTTGCCATTAATGATTGTGTGGTTAAACACACCCATATGTCCAATCCCACCTTCCATCACCAATGCATCTATATTCTTTTTAGCACTTGAGGCCAGTCGAAACAGTCTCACGGGACAAATTCCAAGCATGGGGAAGTTTCAATATCTTGATATCGTATCTCTGTCTTGGAACAATCAGGTGACAATTCAACTAATGATTTGGATTTTCTCAAATCATTGAGTAACTGTACTAAGTTGAATCTGTTGTCCATATCCTACAATAATTTTGGAGGTCATTTGCCAAATTCCTTGGGAAATTTATCCACTCAACTTAGTCAATTATATCTCGGAGGTAATCAGATATCAGGAAAAATTCCTGCAACAATAGGAAATTTAATTGGCTTAACTCTCTTAACGATGGAAAAAAACCGCATTGGTGGAAATATTCCAACAACTTTTGGGAAGTTTCAAAAGATGCAAAAGTTAAATTTGGGTGCGAACAAGCTGTCAGGAGAGATTAGTGCCTACATAGGCAACCTTACTCAATTGTATCATTTGGAATTAGAAGAAAATTTGTTAGAAGGGAATATTCCTCCAAGCATAGGAAACTGCCAGAACTTACAGTACTTAGACCTGTCACATAACAAACTGACAGGAACCATACCCTTGGACCTTTTTAAGCTTTCCTCTCTAACAAAATTGTTGAATTTGTCACTGAACGCATTGAGTGGTAGCATACCTGAAGAAGTAGGCCACCTAAGAAATCTTGGTTGGCTAGATATGTCTGAGAATCACTTGTCTGGTGGAATTCCTCAAACTATCGGAGATTGCATAGTGTTGGAAAACCTCTATTTGCAAGGGAATTGAAGCATACCATCCTCTTTGGCAAAACTCAAAGGGCTTCAACGATTAGACCTGTCACGAAATCGCCTGTCTGGATCAATTCCTAATGTTCTACAAGACATTTCTTTCTTAAAATATTTCAATGTATCTTTTAACACGTTAGAGGGTGAAGTACCAATCAAAGGTGTCTTTGGAAAAGCAAGTGAGATACTGGTTATGGGAAACAATAAACTTTGTGGGGGAATTTCAGAACTGCATCTACCATCGTGCCCCGTCAAAGGTTATAAACTTGCAAAGCACCACAAGATCAGGTTGATAGCAGGGATCGTTAGTGCGATTGCTTTTCTTCTCATATTGTCAATTATTCTAACTATTTACTGGAGAAGGAAAAGAGTAAGAAAGTACCTTCGGATTCACCAACCATTGATCAGTTGGCCACAATTTCATATCAAAGCCTACACAATGGAACTGATGGGTTCTTAGCCACAAACTTGATAGGGTCTGGACATTTTAGCTCTGTATACAAAGGAACTCTTAAGGAGTTCGAAGACAAAGTTGTTGCCATAAAGGTCCTAGATCTTCAGAAAAAGGGAGCTCCCAAGAGTTTCATTTCCGAATGCAACGCACTACGAAACATTAAACATAGAAATCTGATTCAGATTTTGACATGTTGTTCCAGTGTAGATTACAAAGGTCAAGAATTCAAAGCTCTAATTTTTGAGTACATGACAAATGGAAGCTTAGAGCAATGGCTGCATCCGAGAAAATTGAGTCTTGATCAAAGATTAAACATCATGGTCGATGTCGCCTCTGCATTACATTATCTTCATCATGAATGCCAGCAACCAATAATTCATCGTGATTTAAAGCCAAGTAATGTCCTTCTGGACAATGAGATGGTTGCCCGTGTGAGTGATTTTGGCATAGCAAAACTTCTTTCAACCATCAATGGTACCACTTCTAAGCAAACAAGTACAGTTGGAATAAAGGGGACTCTTGGCTATGTTCCTCCAGGTATCTTCTAATCCTTTGAATCACTAGTTTCTGAAAATTCCCATATCTTTTGGTGCCAGCTTTTGTTCATTATCAGCATTTTGTATTGACAGTTCTTGTTATATATTTTAGAGTATGGAGTGGGTCTTGAAGTATCAACTTCTGGCGACATGTATAGCTTTGGGATTCTTATGTTGGAAATGCTTACAGGAAGAAGTCCCACAGATGAAATGTTTGAAGATGGTCAAAATCTTCGTAACTTCATTATAACTTCATTTCCTGATAATCTTCTGCAGATTTTGGATCCACGACTTATTCCAACATATGAAGCACCACCGTTGAAAGGAAACAATTGGAATCTTGATCCAAATGTTGAGATGTGCATACTTTCCCTTTTTAGAATTGGACTTTCTTGTTCTTCGGAATCACTAAAAGATAGATTGGATATTGCTGATGTCACTCGGGAGCTTAACAGAATCAGTGAGACCTTTCTCGTTGGTGTTCAGAAAACTCCTGGTGGCCTCATCTTCCGCCAGAGATGGAACAACATGCAGTTTGTCACAAGTGCCTCATTTTTAGCCACTGTCTATTCTGACTACCTTGCTTCTTCTGGTAGAAACTTGAGATGTAATTCAGGAAATGTTGCTCCTGCCGAGCTTCTCTCCCTTGCAAAGTCTCAGGTAATTCTACCCCCTGCATTCCCTTTCATAGTTTCACTTGGTTAGCTGTTCCTGAAAATGTTTGTCTCTATTTAAAGTTTTAGTTCTTATGTAGTGAAAAGTTGTTTTAGTTCTTACTAGTTCCGCATTGAATAATTTACTCAAATCATTAAAATAAAAATACTATATAATTAAGTTTTTTAATTAATATTCACTGCATACCTTTTTAATTTTGGGAAGCTGCATACTAACGGAGGTAATAATATAATTTTTTTTTAATTAAAATACTATATAATATAAAATTATTTATTATTGTTATTTATTATTATAATTTATAAAATTATTTATTATTAAATTTATTTTGATTATAATTAATAAAATTATTTATTATTATATTGTATTTTTTTATTATAATTAATAATATTATTTATGATTATATTTTTTTTTTAATGTTTTGAAGTGATGAGCAGTTGTGAAAGTGCTAGTGAAACCGGTAAACCAACCTCAGAGTCGCAAATGTCACCTAGAGTACGTTCACCAACTAGTCGGATCTCACGACGTTGTTTAGAACTACATAGGGAGTTATTGGACCAATGTTTTGCAAAACTAAGAGAAACGCTTGAAGTTGAGCATCTTCCTGAAGATGCTATAACTCTTGCTATGGAAAAATTTGATATTGTTAGTCTATTCACCACAACAACACAGTCTTTAGGTGTATTGGGGACTTGGGTAGTTGTTTGCAATTTTGTCGTACAAATTGTACAAGAGAGTTTGCAATTTTGTCCTTATAAAAATTGTAAGCAAGAAGTATCAAACCACGCTAATTTCTGTGTTTGTTTTTGTATCTTTATTTTTTTTTTTTTTGTGCTTTCGCATGTAAAGATTTCTTTTCCCCTCTGGTACCCAACAAAGTGGGCTTCCATTGCTTCATCAAATGATTAAGCCTCAAAAATATAGAAGAGGCTTGTATAAAAAGATATAATAAGAATACTTACCAATACTTAAACTAAGTGAGCATTCCATTATTCCATGAAATCATTGGGCCTAAAAAAATATAGCACCGTGTTGTAAAAAAAATATGTGTAAATATGAGTAAATAAATGCAAAGGATGTTTCAAGAAAAACATATACAACTTATCCAATCTCTCACCAAACTAACATAAATATTATAAAAGAGTTCATCATATTTATAATACAACACATCATAATGTAGTTCAAGCAAAAGTACCACACCAAACGAAAACCAATCAAAAACAAAATATTCAAAATACGAGTTCATAAGATCTATTAAGTTACTTAATTTTTTTCCATCTTGATATTTTTCTTCAATATTTTTAAGGGTATATCTTCATCTTGTGTGTCCAAATTTATTATTTTGTATCGTTTAAGATTTGTCATGACCAAGTCATTGCTGAGAACAAAATTTCAATTTCGCTCTTGAAGGTAAACAAAATAAACATTATAAATCGGTAATTTTTAAATTAAAAAACCTTACATCAAAGCAAATCAATAACCTTTCTTATGAAATCGGTAATCTTTGAATGAAAAAGGTTTAGATCCAAAAGTAAATCGGTAAGAAAGATAGCATAACCTATCCGAGCGTGCACATGAAAATCCTACTTGAGGGAAGACGTGCAACAAAAGAGATTTGATACTTCGTTTGAGACACTCGATCTTGCATAGAAAATGAAAGATTGCATTTGACCGTCTCGAATGTTCAATTACTCAATGATGAAGATGTACAACAAAGAAGGCCTATAGAATTACTCAGCGAAAGAGCATATGGGAGGAGACGGGGAGAACATTTAGGCTAAGGAGGGAACATTTGAGCTTGCAACGTTGTTGTTACCCAAAGGAAGTAGTTTGTCCTTTTCTAGAAATATGTATGTTTTGTACATATTCTATTTTTGATTTTTTTTGAAAAAAAAATGTGGTAGTGATACATGTAGAAACTTGCTATTTGTGTTACCTAAATTTGTATATAATTATAGATATAGTCGTATTATTGATATCGTTTGAGAATTTGACTTGACTTTTTAAATTATTCATTTTCTATTTTAATTCTTTTATTTTTTAATCATTTTAAAAAAATCTACCAAGTCAAATATTTAATTTTTTTTCCTTTTGTTTCTTATTTTGATCAAAGTAAAATTATATGTAATATATTAATTTATGTTGCAATGAAGAATTAATTAAACTAATTAAAATATAAAATTGAAAAAAAAATGAAGAGATACAAAACAGAGAATGTAACAAAATTGTGAAATTTTTAAAATTTAGAAACTAAGATAGTAGAGAAAAAAATCACAAATCTAGAATAAAAAGGAAAATAAATAAAAATTACGGTTTGACTATAAAAAATGTGTTATGTTTACTGCTATCTTTAAAGCTCCACGTAAAAAAAAAGAGGCAAATGTTTCATATATATATATATATATATATATATTTTTTTTTTTTTGGTTGAAATATAAAGAAATAAACTTAAAATGTCTAAGAGCTGTCACCTGACACCTGTGTATCTTATTTCTTATTTTTATTTTAGTTTTATTTGTATCTATGTTTTTCTTTAAATTTATTTACTTTAAATTATTGAAGGTTAAAAAATTAAAACTGCCTCATGGTGTTTTGGTTGATAAACTGCCGTGATTTTTTATGTTTTTGTAATTAGATATTTTATTCGTTGATCATACTTGAATTATGAGATTAGTCCATAAAATTATGGATTTAATCTGTTAATTTTGTACATAATACTTGAATATTTAACATGAAACCTATTATAATAATGGTTGTAAAATATATGAGAGATCAATAACCTTTATATTTTAGTCTTATTCTTAATCTTTGTTTTTTTTTGTTAAATGTGTGCAATTTGCATCCATGAGTCACTTTGATAAGGGTGTTACCATTATTTGGTTGATACCTCTCTAATATTTTGTTTTTTACCAATTAGGTACTTTTTAAAAAAATATTTTTTTTAGCATCAATTAGTAACTTAATTAATTGTCAATTTGTTAGCTTTCAGTTATGATTGAATATGATAGAGATTAATTCTATTAGTTAATTATATTTTGATTTCAACTTTTTTTTATATATGTTGGAATTAATATACCTTTTTCGTTATAATGTAGGATTTAAAAATACACTAAACGAGTAAAATCCCACATCGATATAAAATAATTTAAAAAAAAATACCTATTAATAATATTTACATGTATTTTAACGAGACGAATATATGCATCATAATATTCATACTTATAAATAGTCATTATTAATGATTTTTGTAATTAAGGTGTTAAAATAAAATTATTGATGAGAAAAAACTTTTATAATTAAAAAGTATTATTTATTGTCTGTTTTTATAGATTTTGTTTTTATACAGATTCATGATTTTTTTTAATATTAATTTATTATTTATTTTATAACTTATTTTTTGAATTTATATTTTAAAAAGATTATTTTTATTTATGCCAATACTTTATTATATAATTTTATTTTATGATAATATTTATTTTATTTCAAAAAAAATTAAATAATTTTATTTTAGTATTTTAAAATAAAATAAAAATATTTATAAGTATACGATTCTCACGAATATATTTTCTTTTTCATTGTGCCCATCTCTTAGATGGGGCTCCGCCAATCAATTATTTTTTCTGCCTCAAGGCCCAAAATTGATTGGAATGTATTATAAACTGTCCACAAAAAATTTATCTGAAATAAACTATAAATTGATAAATTGTTTCGTTTAAGAATCCTAGACATCCTGGTAAATTGAATTTGTAAAAATATTAAATTACTTCTAAAATTGTCTTTGTGTAAGACGATTAAATTGTTTCCAATAAAAAAATGTCTTTTCAAAAAAAGATAAGATTTTAGTGGGATGTGAACAAAGTTTGTAAAACTCTTAATATGTGCACGACGAAATCTTAATGGTGCAGGAAGAAAAGTACCATTCTATTTGGGCCCAAATAAGATACAAACCCAGTTTTTAGGCCCAAAATTCCCTCACAGTCTCACCAGGAACGACGTCGTATGGTCAACCCCTGCAGTTGCGCGGCGTGTGGGGCGTGCTCCCAGTACGCATCAAAATCTGCCGCTTCAACCAGCATTCCGTGCTGGGATGAAATTACGTGCAAACCGCAGAGAAGAGGACAAACAATTAGGGTTTTTAATATCAATTAATCTCCGTTTTTCATTTTAGGGTTTTTTTCAGCTCACACTGTTCCCTTGCCCTTCAATTGCAATTCGTACAGGTAATGCTACATTGTGCTGTTTTTTTTTTTTTCAGTCTACCTTCCATTTTTTTGTCTTAGTTCGAATGTATTTATTCTGTCGTCTTGAATGCATGTAAAGAACTTCATAAATACTCTTTTCAGTTTTGTGTAATTCATAAGTGAATAGTTCTGTGGCTCTTCTATCATTTTTTAATGGCGATAATTTAACCATGATTGTCTGTTAGTGCAATGGGGTTTAGTTCTTAGGGTTTTAAAAGCTCTCTCTCTTTTTATTTTTCAAAATATCCCTTCTCTTTATTTTGTTTGTCTTTGTTTTGCGTGTGAACTAGTGATTATTTTTTCTGAAATTACTCTAATGCTCCTGTCGACAACGCCGTGTGCGTTTCCACTCATCTTCTTCATCTTCAATCTCTCGTCGTCATCAATCTCTATTCTTCTTGTCTATAATTCTCTCAAATGGAGCAGCTGAAGACGCTGGGGAGAGAACTTGCAATGGGGTCCCACGGTCAGTCGAAGGAGTTTCTGGACCTCATCAAGTCCATCGGCGAGGCCCGATCCAAGGCCGAGGAGGACCGCATCGTCCTCCGCCAGATCGAAACCCTAAAGCGCCGCATCAACGACGCCGACACGCCCAAGCGCAAGATGAAGGAGTACATCATCCGCCTCCTCTACGTCGAGATGCTCGGCCACGACGCTTCCTTCGGCTACATTCACGCCGTCAAGATGACTCACGACGACGCCCTCCTCCTCAAGCGCACTGGTTACCTCGCCGTCACCCTCTTCCTCAGCGACGACCACGACCTCATCATCCTCATCGTCAACACCATCCAG